CGAGGCTGCGCCGGCCCCGCGGGGCGCTCCGCGGTGCTCCGGGGCCCGGCCGGGCCGCGCGGGGCCCCTCTGCGCCGGCGGGTGCCGCTTGCCGCGTACCGGAGGTGAGCGGCCCCCCGGCGGCTCCTTCTTCAGCGCCTTCTCCCCGAGGGGCCCCTGAGCAGCCGCACCTCTGGGTTATCTTGCTTGCTGCCTAACGTCATCTTTCTGGCGTTTTTCTCCCTGATATACCATTTAAAACACAGTTTGGCCTGGAACTTGCAGTCTTTCCAGCCCTACACGGTCACTTTTCTCTGTACAGAGCTTAGTATTGTGGGCCACAAAGCTGCTCAACATGCACAAGCCGTATTGCTTTGCAAATGTTTAATGATAATCATATATTTTCTTTAAAACGATAGCCTTTATTTAATGTGTCAAAAGTGAAGGTGTCTAGATTTTCAGTGGGCGAAGAAGCAGGCTGTAAGAGGCTGTAGAGAGGAAGAAGAAACTGTTTCACTTCTGATATTGCTCTAGTGGTGATGTTAATTATATATAAGTACATAACAATCATATTAATTATATGAATTCTTTCATGTCTCCCCAATGTTTTCATCTTAAGGTGAAGGGGTGAGGGGAACAAAAGGAGGAGGAACAAGAGAGAAGAGAACCCACGTTGCTTTTCTGGTGTACGTTGGATAGGCAACAGCAATTAATCTGTTACCAGGTGGATATAGTATTTCTTGGTGCTGGAGGAGGGGAAAAATGGTATTTGACTGTTTCTGGCACATGAAATGCTCAAGGTTTTGTACAAATAGTAATGAAGTACTCTTGAGCTGTGTTCTAAGATAACTCGAGTGGAGAAGTTCATGTTTGCTTGTTTAAAGGTCCCTTGTGCCCCTTGAGTTGTGGTGGCAGGGTGAGAAGTGTGTTGTTGCCTCCCTGTTAGGGTCGAGGGGAGCAGCTGGGAGCAGTCACTCCCGGGGTGGAACCTGTTTGCTCCCATGATGTGCAGCACTTCAGGAGCTATTCAGCTTGCTGCAAGACGCAACTGCGCTTCAGTGGCTCTTAAGGCAAGTGTGTTTAACTGTGGGGATTTTCTGTAATGCCTGCTGCCAGTTTTGGTTTCCAACAAAAAGATTCTTCTAAGCGTGTGGAGCAAATCTGGGAATTTTAAGCATAAACTTTATTTTTCACAGTGCAGCACCTTACAAAGTCATGTCAGAAAAAATACCTATTCCTTTATGGTTTAAAAATTTAAAACCTAGAGTAAGCTAAATGTGTTTCTTATCTTGCCTTTGGATACAGTACCAAGACCTTTGAGTACAATTAAAATACTATTGATAATGTCATTTACTAAAAATGTCTTATGAAATAGCTCTGATTGCAAAGTCCCTGRGAAAAACAGGATGCGATTTCTATGGTACTGTTTCTGTATTGGAAGTTATTGCAAGCTTGCTTCAGGAAGACATTTCCATAATTTTTCAATCTCTGTGGCTTCTGTGCTGTGTTTCATCAGTCATATGTCCAGGAGTAGCTATTGTTTTKAAAAATAACTTCAAAAGTTACATTATTTATTAAAGTCTTTTTCCTTTTGTTTACAAGATACCTTACAAGATAGATGTCTATAATGGCATGKAGATCACTGGATTAGATCACTGCATTAGTGCATTGCAGTGAAACCTTTGACTCTGTTTGCTTAAATAAGCGCTGAAGAACTTGAGGAGTTGGGGAGCAAGTGACAGCCTCTTGTGCCAGTTGAGGAGAGGCTGAGCCTCTCTGTGCATAAGGAGGCAGTGCTGCGTGTCCTCCCCGCACAACATTTCTACACGGGAGCGTGACACGGACATTCCTGCTGCGGATTGACTCAGCATGCTTGATGGTTGGTGGCTTTTTATGCATGAAAGGCAAGTACTCAAACCCGGATCGTGTCAGCACTGCAAGCAGCAGACTTTGTACAGGAAAACTTTCCACCTGAAGGGTATGTGTGGTGTTTTGCTCTTAGGGCAGCTGACACAGGAAAGGTTTGTCAGTGCTTCGTCTTGAAACCTTCTGTGCAGAAATGTAGGCTAAACCCCTTGAGATCTGGTAGTTCTTCGTTGTCCTTCCTAAAATTCCGCTCAAGGATGGCAAGTTTTAAAGCTATTAGGAAAAGGATTCATGAAGCGGGTCAGAAAACAGAGCTTACAGGCTTTGCCTCCGCAGCACGTGTGGCTGGGTCGTGGGGCAGTCGTGATGCTGGTGGGATTTTGCATGCACATCTGGGGTGAACTGATTCAGTTGGAGTTCTGTGCTGTGCTTCAGGTGGAACTAGAGGTTCATTTAAACCCTAGCTTTGATTCTGGTGTAACAGCCTCTCAGCCCAGCTTTCCCCGTTTTTAGCTCGGTATATTGACACCGTCTGGGTACAGGGGAGGTAGCAAACATGGAGCTGCTTCAGGGCTGACTGACACTATTCAGCAGTGGAAAACATGATAAAAAATATGGATAATCATTTTGAGAGAGRTGAATTTTCCATACTTAAATAAGCATTCAGGAAATGTACTGAATTCACAGCTGGAGCATACTGTGCCTCTGGCGGGCACCTTGTCTTTTAAAATGCCCTAGCCAAAATCTAGAAATATGCATGGCTTATAATGTCACATTTCTTTATATGCCTGCATACGTGCCAGCGCTCACACAGGTTTTCTCAGTTGTGTTTGTGCTGCTAATAGAAAGTCTGGGAAAGGAAAAAGGGAAATGGAGCACATGATAGGCACGACTGATGAACCAACTAAATTTAATACCACGGGAAAGCTGTAACTGGCTGCAGGCATTGCTGATGTTGGCAAAAAAATATCTTCTGCCCTCTGGCACCTAAGTTTCTGCTTGCTCCGTGCTCTCCGTATGTTCTATTATTTGATTTCAGAGATAAAGCCAGGAATTTAGGAGGCAAAAAGGTAGTTTTCACTGTTATTTTCTGTTAAAAGACAAATACTGTTATTCAGGTGACTTGGTCTCTTCTGTTTCTTTGGTTGGTCCTGTATTGCAGACTGGTAATGATAAAAGCGTAAATCTGTATTGAAATCCAAGTTCAAATACCGAGGTGAAGAAATTGCTAAAAGGCAAGATTATTCTGGGTATAGAATATTCCTGCTCCTGGYCTGAAAGCTGGCAGTTTTCTTAAGCTTCACAAATGAACATTTGCTAGATCTCTATGTTGTGTTCCAGAGGATTGCAACATTAGGAAAATGTGTTTTTCAGGAAGAGTGGATTTCACTGTGTAAACTACTAAGGTGGCTCTAAGTGACTAATCTGAAGGAGAATGTGGCTTCCGAGTTTAAAGAAATTGCACTGTCGTAAGACCCAAACTTAACTGTTACWGTAAAGATGAAACTCAGTGTGAGCTGTGTGGAATGGTTCGCATTTGTGTGTTGTACAAGAGCTTGCTACTTTTGTTGAGCACTTTCTTTCAATTGCTCAACTCGCTTTTCTTTGACAGCATTTTAAAAATAGGAGTGGGTCGTATCAGGTGCATCCTAAGTGATGTGGACTTTCTCACAGATCCAGCCCATCCATGAATGACCTTTGACGTTTTGGGCTGTGCTTACTCTGTGCTAAAAGGTCTCTTTTACTGCATGTAGTATAGGAGACGTGTTTTATTCTTGGAATGTTAGATAAATACTTAGGTGGGTGTTAGGATTCTTGACTTGTGACACATATGCAGAATTCTCGCAGATTAAGGAGAATTTCCTGCCTTGATCCTGAGAAGTGGCTTTGGTTAGAAGACAAATCCATGAGTTGAGTGAATTTGTGGTGGTCTCTAAGCTCACTGCTTCTAGGAGGCTTGCAGAGGTCACGCGGTAGCTCTGTGTGTAATACTGCAGCTCAACTCTGTCCTTATTGCTCTTCATCTGTATTTCCATGTATTTAAAGCCCCAAGTGTGGGTGGCTGACTCAAGGGTGCATGGTTGTTTTGGTTTGATGGGGTTTTGTTTTTAACTTTCAATAAAACTTTGTAACTTAAGATGAAATAAGAGATAGTACCAAACAGGCCAGCCATAACATTGAATTTGTAAGTAATGATCAGCCATAATTTCTTTTTATAATAAGTGTGATCCAAGTAGAGAGAGTTGTTGCAAGAGTCAAGTAAACAGTTGACTGAGAAAATTACTTTATAGAGAATACACTCCTTTGCCTACCTTTTTCTCCCCTTTTGGGGCTTTTATGGTATCTATTATCACATTGCAGATAGGTTTGGAATTAGAACTAATGCTCTGTTTCCAGTAATGTCGTTTAAAAAGTGAGTATCTTAAATGATTTCAGTATAAGAAACTTCTATCTTTAATTCCCTTAAAGAAAACATAAATTGAAATATGACGACTTCATCGTTAACATGCACTCAATTATTGTAGGTATCTTACCTTAAGTTTGCCAGGGGATTCAAGCCATAAAGCTTCAAGATATATTTTTGAAACAGTGCAATGTTTCGGACCTGTAGTATACTATTTTAGTCTTATTCTGTTTTTTCTATATGTTTCTGGYTATCTCTTCTTGCTTATTTTAGGAATTGCCAATAGTAGGAAAAGACAATGCTTGAGCATAAAGAAAAACTTTTTTTATTGTCTAGTATGATTAAAGTTTAAAATGACTAAAACTAGAAATACCTAGGAAATAATTTTCTGGGGCACTTTAAATTTTTATTTCTACTTAGATATGAATTAGATGAATTAAGTCTTGGGTTTTTTTTCYGATTTACATTATTATTTTTATTTCTTTTTTAAAGCTGGCCCCTGTGTGAAAGTTCCTTGGCTAATTAAGCATCTAGAAGTGCACAAGGTATGCTGCTCTTTAAGTAATCTTTACTAAACATGTGGGTCTTGTCTTTCTCCAAAATATGCAGGTCTGTTTTCTTGGCTACGCAGAAGGACAATGGCAGGCAACAGTCAGCTTTGCATTCGACGTTGGACTACCAAGAATGTGGCCAAGTGGCTGAAAGAAGAAGGTTTCTGTGAATACGTGGATATTTTGTGCAATAGACACAGGCTGGATGGAATTACGTTACTGACACTCACCGAATATGACTTACGATCCCCTCCTTTGGAAATCAAAGTCCTGGGAGATATTAAAAGGCTCATGTTGTCCATACGCAAACTGCAAAAACAACATATTGATGTCCTAGAAGAGCTGGGTTACAGCAGTGATAGTCACCTTAGCCCCGTGTGTGCTAATGTCGGCTCCCTTCAAGGTTCAGATTGGTTTTGTAATGGTGAGGTTCCTCGGGACTATGATGGACCAATTAATGACTCAAACGGTGATCAGTACCAATACACTAATGGGAAGAACAAGCACTGCACGCGAAGGCTGGACCCAGAGTACTGGAAGACGGTTTTGAGTTGTGTGTATGTCTTCATCGTGTTTGGCTTCACCTCCTTTGTTATGGTTATAGTACACGAGAGAGTACCAGACATGCAAACATATCCACCTCTGCCAGACATATTTCTAGACAGGTAAGAAACTTAAACCAATAAAAGTGGCTAAATCTATGGCTAAAGCATAGATTGTCATCTGTTTTTTTTGTTAAAAAGCTTTGTGTGCTCTTGAAGATACTTCTGCCAAATAATAACTTGAATATATTATACCCTGCTGTTAAGATTTGAATATGGTTCAGTTAGAGAGCTTTAGCAGGGGAAAAGTGAGCTATTCTACCCAATTTATATTAGCTTTTGTTAACTACTAGCAATAAGTAATACTGCAGTATAGTAAATAAATTCCTCCATCCTTCATTCGAGTATCTAATTTTTTTGTGGGGAACCTGCTTAAGACCTTGAACATGCAGTGTTAATAAGCAAGAGGTGGTTGCTTACTAACTGCTGCTAAGTCTTTTTTCTTTTCTCAGTGAGTTTAGGAGCTTTTACTTTTCTTGAGAGTTTTGTACAATGCTTGCGACGCCAAAAGATTAGCTTTTAAAAAATCTGATTCTTATATGTATTTTGTAGACTTTTATTAATGCAGAACTAGGAATTAGATTTTTGTGAGATGTTTAAGCAAACACCATTTTATTTTTTGAAACCAGTTACTCTTGTCTGAGAAAAGTTAAAATAAAGGAAGAAAAGAGGACCGTGCCTTTGCACAGTCCTACTGATAAAATCTGAAAATGAACTTTTGGGATTAAACCAAGCTTCATTCTCATTTGACCTATTCRAAGTTGCTTATTCACTTTGGAAATTAGCAAGGGAGGAAGAGCATCTTCTGAAGAAATTGCWGTCTAGGTTCTTGGAGGATATTGAGGTGTTTTGGTTAGCATAGAGGGTTTAATACCTAGAGAGCTTAAGATGATAAGATTAACTGTTTAATAGTTTARTATTGTGGTCTCCTTATTCCTGCCAATATTCTCTATTTTCCTTAACTGTTTTAGTGAAACCTGCAGGGCTGATCTTTTGAATAAGTGTTCAAAACACACTACAAATGTAGGTATGGCTTGGCAAGGACTGACTGCACGGAGCAGTGGAGTGTGGAGGAGGGAGCCTGGGAGTTAGGGCGCTGCTGGACTCCCTTTCCGGGCACTGAAGCTCATTCAGTGGCCGGGAGGATGGATGAGGCCGGAAAGCAGCAGCCTGGAAAGCAGGGATTAGTGCAGAGCTCGCGCTGGAGCAGCGCCCTGCCCGTCTGTGCTTTGGTGGCCGTGCAGGGTGGAAACTGTTACTAGTGCTGCGTGTGTTTGAGAAGATGCTAATTATTTTGACAAGCGAGGCTACAAGGTTTGCGTTCAGTGATTGTCACTGAAATCTAATTTTGAGAGTAATTCTCTTTCCTAGTACTGCCCTTGTGCTTTCTGTGCAGTCCTATTTCATAAGATATATTTATTGGTTTAAACTTTGCAAAATTTTGCTAGCTGTGTAGACATGGCATTCATGCAAGTGCAGCACAATAGACATGATGCAAGTTAATGTGTCAGGATGGAAAAGCTCACTGGAAACTGAATGGTGAAGGATCACATCTTGGTAGAAATTCACACACGTGAAGTATTAGAAACTCCAGAGATTTTATTTGACTTGGTGAATTTCATATGTGCTGAAAACACATCATTAGAAAAAGATAAAGCAATTTAAAATGAATAGAAATCATGTGCAAGTAGATCAAGCTATCAGAGTTTTTGCTTTACCTGCTTTTGTAATTTAAACTGTTTTCAGAGTAATGCAAAGTAGTTCYGTAGTTAGAGCTTACAAAATTACACACCTGCATTTTAGATACTGAGACTATAAAGGGAAAAGAGGCTTTCATTCTGTGAGCTAATTTTCTTTGTTCATCATTGTTTTAGCGTCCCGAGGATACCCTGGGCTTTTGCCATGACGGAGGTGTGCGGTGTAATTCTGTGCTACATTTGGCTGTTGGTTCTTCTCCTTCACAAGCACAGGTATGGTCCACATGCACAGTTCAAGTAACTGGTTCCCTCGTTCAGAGAACGGACTGTAACTAGAGTTTATGTCTCTTGAAGACTTTCCTTTCAACTGTAAAAGCTGATAGACCTCCAATACGCCCCAATTAAAGTGCATTAGCAAGGATGTAAGTAGTACGTAACAATTTTGTGTATAAGGGAACTGTACAAGAGWGAAATACTACAGGATGACTGGGGCAACCCAGCAGCTTGCTGACACTCAAGGGAGAAGGTCTTGGTGTGTGTGTGTTTGCAATTATTGTTTTCTAAATTATCAAGTTTTATCATTCATTAAAAGAACATATGAGTGTCAAAGCTAGTACAAAGGTAGTCTTAGAGGAATGGGACCATCCCTTCTCGTGGCAATGAGCCTATGTGGTCTTACCTGTAGTATGGAGCTGTACCTTTATAGTACCAATTAAAAATAAACCAACTTGTGACGAAGCTTGGGGAACACTACTGAGCGAGCTGCGAGGGGGAGCTGTTTTTATGACTTTATTCATGTAATAGTACAATATGTTAAGATTCTTGCTGCGAGTTCCCCTGTACTTTTCCCAGATCTATACTTCTACGGAGACTGTGCAGCCTCATGGGGACAGTATTCTTGCTGCGTTGCATTACAATGTTTGTTACCTCGCTCTCTGTGCCAGGCCAGCACCTGCAGTGTACTGGAAAGGTAAAAAACAAAAGTGCTTTAAAATTGTTTCCTATATTTAACTTTAATCTATGGTTAAGGTTCTCATGATCGTTGTGTTAGCTGTATGTTTATAAAATCAGTATCTCCCCACCCCCTCAATTCCTGATATGCAAGTGTGCCTTCTTTAGGATCTTGGAGGCATTTTTCACTTTGGAGAGAAGCAGTTATTTAATGAAGGTAAAAGGGGACATGCAGGATATTTCACAACATAAACTGGAGGGAATACATCCAAGAAATGTGAACCTAAGGCACTGATTTAATGAGAAACTGTTGCCTGTGGAGTAATTGCATCTTTGTCTCGATGATTGCAAGRCTGCCCTCCATCTGAGAAGGTCTCCATCTAGAACACTAGATTTCATATTTTTATCCTAACTTGTAATTGATACATGTTTTGGCTTAATATTGTGAGCCTGACAATGATGCATTAGGAGGCAGAATACATTCCAGGAAGCTGGTGGCAAATTCAGTATGTAAATCACTGGCAATAAAGTACTTGCTTTTAATTCCAGGATTCATCAGAGATGCAATTATAGTTACTAATCTGATTTGCTGTGCCTCAGAAAAATCAAATATATGCTGACCTGTATTTTAATAAAAGCAAAAAAAAGATAAATGATAATAGATCTGCATACTGTTAGAAAGCTAATGTTTAATTACCCATGGTCTAATTCTAAGGAGATTGTRTTTAAAATAAATAAAATAAAACAACCAAAACAAGAATGCCATTGTCTTTCATTGTTTTTTAGCTGTATGGCAACGTTTGGGCAAAACTCCAGCGGGCTTTTGCAATATGGAGTGGCTTCGGAATGACCCTGACTGGAGTACACACGTGTGGAGACTATATGTTCAGTGGCCATACTGTTGTCCTGACCATGCTCAACTTCTTTGTCACGGAGTGTAAGTACAGAGCATCAGCTCTTAAATATCCTCATGCATTGGGAGCATGTACTGCTYGCACCCACCAAAGGCACGGGCTGCAGCTCTAAAGCTAGGAGCGATACATTCACACTGCTATGCTCTTTCTCAAATTCCTGACTGGCCTGTTCCAGACAGGAAAGGAACAGCACCGTGTGGGTTAGTGGAAGGATAAAATAGAGCACATTTAAAAAACACAGGAGCCAAGAAATTTGGGAAGACGTTCTAGTTTGCTAAGGGGAGAATATTGGGGAAGATGCTGCTTGTGCTTGCCTAAATGTGTAAGTGTTACTTAAATGTAAGTGACCTGGATCAGACAAGATCCTCAAGCTAGGTGTTCGTTTAGTGTAGTCTGTACTGTCAGAATAACAGACCTCAAAAAGAATGAGATGATATCACACAGTAATGCTCTTCTGAAATTATGAAGTGCCATTTGATGTGTTATATAGCAAGCTAAGATACTTAGTTTGGGTTCAACTATGGTAGAATGAATATAGTGGCAGAATCACAAATGCTCTGTGCCACTTTTTTTTTCCTCCTTCATACTACATAAAGCATGATTTTCATTAGCAGAATTGTGTTGGACAAGGAATTCAGGTTTGCATGTCCTTAAATCATTTTAGGACACTCTGTTGACCCAGAAATGAATAACAGCTCTATTTATAAACTAAGTGATGAAGTGATTGACACTTAAAGCTTGTGCATGTTGTGATTGAATTTATTGGACCAGTAGATACAAACAGGCTTTGCAGGTGAAGGTGTTAACTTCTACGTATTTGTGGATTAAAAACCTGTCTGTAAACTTTTGTTGGCTAGGAATGGAAAACAAGTAATAACTTGTTTTTTGGGGGCGGCTCGGTCACTTTTTTTTTTTCTCTTAGATACACCAAGGAGCTGGAACTTCTTGCATACTTTGTCCTGGGTCCTGAATCTCTTTGGAATCTTCTTCATTTTGGCTGCACATGAACATTATTCAATAGATGTCTTCATTGCCTTTTACATCACTACAAGACTCTTCCTGTATTATCATACCTTGGCTAATACCAGAGCGTATCAACAGAGTAGGAGAGCAAGGATCTGGTTTCCTATGTTTTCATTTTTTGAATGCAATGTGAATGGTACTGTTCCCAATGAGTATTGCTGGCCCTTTTCAAAACCTACAATAATGAAAAGATTGATTGGCTGAAGAGCTCATGGGTTAATTCAGACTTTTTATGAAGAATTATGGCTAAGACCCTACAAGGCTAGCTGGGGGGATATAAAATAACATGTATCACTCTGTGGTCTCCTCCCTCGTGTCTCATTTTTTGTGCTTCTTGGTCATAGAATGGGCTACCCATACATCACAGGGACGGGGTTTGGTTTTGCCTAAGCGGAAAGCAAGGCAGGGATGGGTCAAGGCAATCACTGAATCATGAGTATGAATCAGAAGGCTGTTACCGTTATGAAGTTTCATGTGAATGTTTAAGTAACTTCAACCTCAAATATGTGCTTGTACTGACCATAACCTATCCTTTATATGTCCAAATGTTCTCCGTTATCTGACATGTCCTTTTCATACACCGACTTAATACTTTACATTGACTTTCTTTTAGAAGTTATAAACAGTTTAATTTTTGAACTGAAATGAAGTGTATACTTAAAGATGGAGGAGTGTTGTGTCATAAAGAGGGGAGCAGGTGCTCCTTGCTGAAAGGGTCCCTCAGCTGTTAAGTAGCAAGTCTTAAAGCATAGCTGAGAATATAAGTGGTCTGCGTACAGGATGCCAAAAATGAGTCTGCCTTGTTGGTGCGTAGTGCTGATGTGTTCTGTGGGTTGGTTGGTTGTTTTTAAGAGAACTTGTTGAGTCCAGTCTGCCAGTTGTTTATACAGTTGTTCTAGTACTTGCCAGTCTTCCCTTTACCTTTCAATAACTGAGTTGGAAATAAATACTGCATCTACTGAAAGTCAAGTTAGCTTTAGTGCTTTTAAAGCCACAAAGTAACTTTCTTCGTGTGGTTTTAATTGCTTTATATCCAGACATATGCATGCATTTTATGAGCAGCTCTTTAACACTGGAAAAACATAAGTTATCTTCATGTAAATGAATGGGAAAAATGCATGTAGTATCTCAAGAAAAGTGTAATAGTGAGTTCTGGAGATAGCCCTCATATTGATCTCTTTGTTTTAAAGTAGGTTTAATCACTCTGGTGTCAACAATTTGGTGAGTATCTCTAGATATATGAACACGATATATTTGGATACATGTACACTGTTGTTCCTAGAGCAAGTATGAAAACAGACTAGTTTTTAAATTAAGTTGTTCATTTACGACACTGAAAGATAAAGTGCTGTAAAGCAGTTTGAGTTACAAAAATCGCTCTGAGGCTGCAGTGTGTAAGCAGGGGTCGCACCGCTGGTGACTTCTCATGCAGTGGTTTCTAAGAAGAAAATAGTGCCATTGGTGGAAGAGGTTTGTTCTAGTTTATGGTGAGGGGCTTTATCCAGACAGGTAAAGGTTGCAGCTCGCTAAAAGTGTGCAGCCCTTTTAATTAATTACTGCAGTTTCAGAAGAGGTGGTATGTGTGGAAGGCAGTGCAAGTCAGCTTGGGAAAGCTGTATAAAACCTGCCTAGCTTGGTGCAGACCAGCTTATGACTATAATGTACATATATTTGCATGAAAAACAATCCCTTTGGTGGAATCTTGCCAGACAGTTTTGTATTTGAAGGTTTGTAACCCACTGTGGTCTACTTCTGTGCTCCTTTTATAAATCTGGTTTGTACTAGAAATAATAACTTTGCAGTCTTCCTCTCTTCATAATATGTTACTTTTGTAACTTAATTTAACTCCTGTTTCACAGAGGAATTGTGCATCTTAGAGTATTCTCTGTACCAAGTGCATTGAGCACACACACATTGTACTGTTCTGCAGACTTTTGTATTTGTAACATTCCTATTTTTAGCAAAATTGCAAGTATAATAATGTACTGTTCAATGCACCGCACCCTAACGGCTCCTGCCATCCCAACGGGGGAATATGCTTGTATTTAACAGCAACAAGAAAGCAAATATGTTGTGAAAGACTTGCTCATTTTTCTGTCCTTACCTTTCTGATTTAGGAAAGGCATTTTGAACATTCCTCTTGAGACTTGATAGAAGAGTTTTATTTACTAATTTATATTTGCCTTTGCGATGCGTGCACAGCTAGGAGTGCTGTTTTATACTCGTAAACCCTCTGTTTTCACGATGTGCAGGGCTGTGTTCGAGTTAAAGCAGGAGAARGGTATGCAGTTGAACTTGCAAAGCTGTTGATTCTGAAAAGAACCATGTCAACTGACACACCTATGTCTGCATTGAAAAGTTATTTTGAAACTTAGTCACACAGCACAGTTTTAAAATATAGCCCAGTGTAATAATGTTTACATGAAGTAAAGGTATCATTTCAATACTAGTTTTTTAAGTTGAAATACTTTGAAACTTAAAGCTTCTCTCTGGATTTGTTTTCTCAAATTCTTTTAAGGAAATCAGTGTGATAAGTCAGCATTGCCCATCAGTGTTTTGTAAAAGAAGTGTGTTCCTTTTGTGCTGATTCCCTTGAGGCTCTATATCTGTATTCAAGATAATGCTGAAACAACGTTGGTTTTGAGAGAACTGGTTTGGGTTAAAATATTGTCAGGGAATTGTCGTCTTCAGTGTTAGAAGTTAATTTTGTCTGTCTGGAAGCACACAAGTGGAAACCTTGAAATTGTTATAAGACAAAATTTGATTTCTCTTGCAAAATAGCACGCGTCAGTCCCGAAAGCTGGTAGTTTAAGCTTTACTGTTAGATAGAAACAAGCCTCAAGTGACTGACAGGCTTAAAATCTGTGCCTCCTTTTTAAAGAGTCAGGACTATAAAAGGGTTTTGCTGCCTCTCTGCTGCTGCTGAGCCCTTCTGAGCGAAGGCAGCAGGGTGATGGTTGGCCTTGGAGGTGACACTGAATTTGCCTGTGCTCCATCCCTCTTCCTTCATTCCTGTCCCAAGTGGAAAAGTCTGACTCTGAATAACTCTGGGGATACAAAAGAGAAGGTCATGCTTTATTTGCTTTTTCTTGGTAATTTGGCAAATCTAGTAATTTTTGGAACTTTGCGGTAGTCCTCAGCTGTTCTTTATTGTCCTCAGCTGTTCTTTATTGCTCTCAGTTCTGCTCCTGCTTGGAGTAGGTGTGTGGACATGCACACATAGGCGGTAGGTGCGTGGATCCTGTAAGTTTACTGCTTGTGATGAAGCAAACTATATGCTTAAGCAAATCGCTAATTACTAACTTCAGCGAGGGCTCCCTGTTAAGCCAAGCCATTAGGATTGGTGCAGGTGAATGCTCTGCATGGTGTACTGATGCTGTAATAAGAATATATAATGCCATTTCCTTTTCAGTTTACCCTGATTTATATCTGTCATAAAAGAAGGTGTGTTCCAGGGCAGTTCCTGATGCTTACTGCCAAAATGTGTTCTGAGCACTGCCCCCCCCCCCCTTCAAAAATAAAAATAGCTTTAAGAAAAATGCRTCAAAATGAAGTGCAACAAAAACCTTGACAGTTGTATTAAGAAGTAGAAATCAGTGAGGTTAATTGGAGAAAAAAATCAGATGCCAACATCAAATAAAATGGTATTTGGCAGTATTAGTCCTTCAGCAGAGATAACACWACAAGTTTCTGTATCCTTTTTTTCCCTCTGTACGACTAGCTCTGTGTGGTGTCTCTTACAGTGGCAGAAGGAGTATCTGAGGGAAAGACAGAACTCCCAAGATTAACACAAGAATCTTGCAACAGTTGGTGTTTCTCTTCTTTTATTATTATTTTTAGCAGTGCTTACACACATCAGTGTTACACTTGTTTCTGTTTAGCTCTTTAGCTTTTTATGGACTTTTTAATGTTTGCTGAAGTTTGCAAGCACCAAATCGTTAAATATCTATCTGGAGAAATAYCAGATATCCCAAATGTGGGTTTTGTGGACTTAGAGTGTAACATCAGAAGAATAACCAGTAATGACTATGATAAATAGTATTTCATTCTGTGCAAGTAGTTTCCACTGAAGAGAGGGGAGAGCCTGTTGGAATCCTTGAAGGATGATTTTGGTTTCAAATAATTTAGCAATATCTGTAACTATAAAACTATCGTAATCTTGTGGGGGGGGCGTTATTTGACAAAAGTCCCACTTCTGAGCTAGCAGACACTGTGAATTAGGTGCAAGTATAAGACTTCTTGAATTGGGAATTAATTAGTAGGCTGCTGGTGATCCCTATAGATTACTGCTTCTGATGCCTATTCGGTGATGTTACTATTGCAACTGAAAAAGTAGTTCTGGGGTTGGGGGGAAGTCCTTTGGAGTGAACCTAGAGGTGTCYTGCTCATCATTTTGACAAAAAAAACACCCCAATCCCTTACAACCCTTCAAACCCTGTAACATTGTGAACACTGAACTTCGCATATAGCGTTTTCCTGCAGTATTTTCTGTTTGTATCTTAAATGCAGTGAATATAATGTACGTAACTTAGACGTGCACATCTTCAAAGCCAGTTTTGTGATAGGTGTGTAAGACCTCAAGGTGTCAAATGTGGAGCACAGTAACCTGACCTGTTAGCCAAGTGACTGCGTAGGCAGACTTAACTTAAGACTTAACTGTAACTCAGTTCTGGTGTCTCTCAGTTTTCTTACGTGAGAAATGTGTCAAATATGAGAAATCACAAGCTGTATTGTACACAGTATGTAACTTAATAGGGGTGTAGAAACATGACTTTTCACACTGAACAGTTGCTTCATTTTTTTTCCCCACAGAAAATAAAATAGTATTATGTAATGGCTGAAAGTTAGGCCAGTGAAGTATAAAGCAAGTACTGTAAATAAGTAAATATTGTTTTGATTCTAAACTCAGATTGAATTAATATATTGTTTTATATCTTTGTTGTATGAAAACATATTTAAAAGTACTAAAATAAAATATTTAAAAGATGGCAAATGTTTTATTTTATTTTGCATTTGAGAACATGGCTTGCTATCCTTGTGTTGATAGTGTGACCATGGAAGTATGCCTGCATAATGTGAGTTTGAGTGGCTTTTCCCCCCAGTTTCTGTTCTACAGCTGAGGAAGAAGTGCACCGTGTAGTGCATGCAGTGTGTCTGCGACTCTCTTATCTGCTATAAATTGCTTTCGCAGATTGCTTAACCATTTTTGCTGTTAAAAACCCAGYGAACGTGTATCCCATGGTGTAAGCAGCGAGGGAAGTGCAGCAGGGCGGCCCTGCGAGCTCCGCGTCGGCTGCAGGGAGCTCCCCTCTGCCCGCTGCAGCGCCACGAGGCATCAGCAGGCAGTGCAAAACCCCGCTTACAACCAGGAAGAGCAAAGGTAACTTTGGGACTTCTGTGGGGCTTTGCAGCTTCTCCTAGGTGTGTGTGCTCATTTGTTGCTGCTTGCMCAGTTACTGATTGTCCTGTGGGATTTCCGTTCTCTCCTGTGAAATGTCCTACCAGAAAGGTGTTTTAGAAATTCAGGTAATTCCGAGTGCGCTGCCTACCCTGGAGTTGTACAGTTATACAGCTTTGAAATATGTCCCAAGACCTTAATGCAGTGCGAGTCAGGTGAACTTCAAACGTTCCAATGTTAGAAAAAGTTTTCATGTACTTTGCGTAGAATCATAAACTCTTGAGCAACCTGGTAATTTAGGAGAGGAATGCTGAATGTGTAGCCTCTGAGGGTGTCTTTGAGTCACGTTTTAGAGCTAAAGCAAGATGGGTTTGGCAGTATATCTCTTTTCCCTCTCCAAAGGAGAAAATAAATAAATAAAGGACAATTATATTAAAAGTGATAACGTTCTGCGTACCAGTTGCTGTGTTTTACCTGTGGCCTTTGGCCTGTTATTTTGGGAGCCAGGAGGTTGTGTGCTAGGCAACTGRAAACAACTCCGTGCTTAGTGTGTTATAAATGGAGGGTGGGAAAAACTCCAGAGAAAATAACTGATTGTTTCCCAGCCTATGTTGCAATGTTGCTTGAACTTTGAATAAAATTCCCCTTGCAAAATGGCTTGCACTTCCTCAGTCGCTGCTCCCACAAGCAGAGAGGATCAGTAAGTGCTGTTAGCTGCAGTAGGAGGAAAGGAAATCTGTGCAAATACTGGGCTTGGGCTGGGTGGTAAAAGACAGATGAAGCACTCTTATCACYAACCTGTGCTTTTACTAGATGGTTTTGTGGACCATCAAGTTTGGATTGCCTTTCTCAAATCATTCTGGATTTGAAGTCCTTCTAGGGAAAGCTGATACAGAACAGAAATGCTGCTGCTGAATATCTAAATGAATGAAAAGAAAGCATTTTCARTCTTAGGAAGTGTTTAATTACATGATTGCATCCTAGCTCTTTCTCCAGCAAACTTTTTGATTCTAAAGAAGCCATTACCCACATAGCTGCAAGACCTACATGCTGCTCATCATCCAAACTGTGTATTGGATTATTGATCTGGAACTTCTGCAGCACTGTCCAAAAAGTATTTCAGAAAGCATCTTTTCACAGCCAGCTCTTTACTGAAACTGATTTCTTTGAGAGTAAGTGGGAGAATAAGACTAGTGTGATGAGCTCTTCCCTCAGCATGGGAAGAGCTAATGCCAACAAAAGCTACGTGGGCCCKACTGCAAGAATTCAGCCTAAGAATGTGCGGATGCTTCAGGCTGTTCCTGGAGAACTGTTGACGCTGGGGAAGGAATGCAGCAGTTAAATGTTCCTAGCTGTGGTCTTTAGGCTTCAGCTGCTTCTGACTGGTTTGTTGTGTCTCTTGGCAGCRGTATGCTACAGATAGTGGTGAAATTACGGGTTCTTTCTACATTGCTAAACAGCTACAAAATCATAAAATAATTCCTAGCACTGTCAGGGCTGTGTTGGAGTTTGCTAAGATACTCACTGAACTCTACTAGTCATTTGACTTGTGTAGAATATTCACCAGGCAAATAAGTAATAATTTCTTTAATAGCATTATTAGTTTTGCAAATGGACTGCTCAGAATCTAGGGGGACTCTAGGGAGAGCGCTGCAAGGGAGCTCCGTGGAAAGGGGCCAGGGAATGTTTCTTGCCAAAGAAGCTTCATTCAATTTAGATATGAAAATAATTTTTTTTTCTCTTCTCTGCTAGCTTAACTCCTCAAAACTGAATCTTTGTCTTTGAATCACTGGTAGATTTCTGAACACCATAATTAAAGGCAGTAGCCCTGGAAAGGAGAAAAAAAAAAAAAAGGAAAGGTAAAAAACAGCAGCACAGCAGCAAGCAGCAACTTCGCGATTCTTACTGTAGCACTTGTCTTCAGGAAAGACAAGAAAAACAGTTTGCAAATACTGTGAAGGCATTTCTATAAAGGAGAGCGGAAAAAGATGCTCAAGGGGGCTGTCAAAACRTGCTCTGGAGGTGACTGTCAGCTAAGACACCTCTAGTGTATGAATGGAAGCCCTAAATGGAGCTGGTAACACAAACACCCAAGCTAAAGGCGATATTCTGCCCTATGCTGCTGTGGGCCACAGCAGGAGCACAAGCTGTGCTCCTGTATGTGGAGCTTCCTTAGGCTGGAAAGCAAAGTCTGGCCTGTGGAGCAGGGCTCTGCCAGTGCTCTCATCTAGGAGGTCCTCAGGGATGTGTTTGAGTTGTTTACAAGTGATGAGATTTTGGCCCAGAAAGAAAAGCTGAAGGAGAGGGAAGGTGAAAAGAGAGGAATAAGGCACTGCCACCAGCTTCTGCAAAACGGCAAGTGTTACTCTGCACCAGCTCATGCTCTGGCCAAACTAAATTGTAATTCATCTTCAAGTTATACCTACATTACTGTACCTGTTCTCTTCCTTATTGCTGATTTTCAGTGCAACTTAGCAAGCTGTTTTTTTCTTGCAAGCTGCTTTCCATCCGGGATCTCTTAAAATCTGCTGGTAGTGCATGGCAGAGCTGCCACAAGTGACTGCAAGGTGGGCTCTTCTGTCCCCACTCCCCAGAGTGAAATAGCACTTCAGCATATTCTGTGGGGAATTACCTGTTGGTGTAGGAGCTTCTGGGGAGGAAATCACATGGCATTTGTTAACTAAGTGGTTCTAATGAAAGTGCCAAAAAGAGCTTCTATCTATGAACAGCAGAAGGCTGTAGCGTGCTCAGCTGAAATCGCTACCTCCCTGCTGCTTTCTTGCCTACTAAAAATAGTCRTTCTGGCTAATGCAGAGGGACGTGCTAACTACTCATATGACAAACACAAGCAGTCAATCATGAGGCTAGAAATACCTAGAAAAGCTTTTACTCTAATGTACTAAGTAAGAGGAGAGAGCAGAGGGAGTGAGCTGCGATACACCCTGCGTAATGCAGGCCTTGGGCAGCCCTCCTGCCTATTCCTTGGGTTATTTSCTCACTGCATCTTTAAGAGGCGGCCAGTGTTGCCAGTTGGCCTGAAGCAGATGTGAAAAATCACTGGAGTGATTTTCCCAGTGCTGCAGGAACGCGGTGTCTGCTCCAGCCTGGAGCTGGCAGGTCGGGAGGCAGCCTGGTGTATGGGCACTGTACAGCACTGCTGCCTCTGTGCGTGCACTGACTGAGCAGGGGCTCGGGTTTATGTGCCAGAATGAAGTTGTTTTCTCTAGGAGTAATTGACTACAACAGAGCTACACCAGTCGCTGAATGTGTGGAYGGGCTCCTTCACGGACACTCTCACCTCCATGTCCACATGCAGGCAAGTCCGATCCACACCTGGGCTAGCTGGAATGGCTACGGTGGTTTAACAACGCTTGTGATGTTTTTGCTTTGGCTTTTCAGCAARGATGTAAACTACATCATCAGACCCCGACTCTTTTATATGAGCAAACCCCTCCTCTGCTTCCCTGTGGCATGGGGGAAAAGCTAATATTGAATCTGAGAAAAGTCTGGTTTAACCCAAGAGAAGGAAGCCGGGCCCCTCTTCCGTGCTAGCCCTACCAGTATGCACTCTGGTAAGTACAGTGCCCACCAGCAGCGGTAACTCTAGTTTACTTGTTGCTGCCTAGTGTGGGTTTGCACATTCAATCTGTGTATTCAAAATCTAACACCAGTCACTCAACAGAGGAGGAACTGTTTCCCCATCAGATGTAGTGAGAACTTATGCCTAGAGCTGCGCAGAGACTAAGGAATCCTCTGAAAACTCCTTCAGTTCTTTTTTCTGGAGCTTAAATCCTCATGCAATACCCACATATATATCTAACCCTTAAGAGGGACACTGAGCCTTCAGTTTCCATATGGGTAAAATGTGGGAGCTTAACCACAGTTTCATCCCTGGGGTGATAGGCAGATTTGTGGTATCCCAAAGCCCAGCCTGAGCATGGCAGAACTGAAAGTTCATCCTAAGACAGGTAAGAAAAATACTGGTTTCGAAAGGAGGCTTCCTTACCTCCCTTGGGAAGGAAGGGGGAGTGCTCAATGACAGTGCTGAGGAAGGGCACTGAGATGAGTAAATGCATCAATTTTTTGAGGACATTTAGCAAAGTAGAAAAGTAGTTTAGGCTCCTTAATTGAATGTCTTAAGCATTTAATTTTAAGTGAAATGTAATATTCTTGAAAWTTTTCCTCTTTTCTAGGTCAGTAAAAAAGAATTTAGTTGTCTAAGGTTTTATGTATATTAATATCTCCAAATACAGGCCAGAAAAAGAGATGGGAAGAAGGGCTGAAGTTGAT